GCAAAAGTAACTTTTCAACTAGTCACAACAAGTAACTCTAGTGATAAAGACTAAACAGAAATATAATGATAAATATGCGAGAATAAGTCCACTGATTATGAATTCATCTTTGGAAAGTATTTTTTTTTCAGTTACACACATTTTGATAACAACACCTATGAATTTTTCCGTTCTGATATTTTTTACCCCTTGTCAGCACTCAATACTAATTTTTTACTCTGACGAGTTAGATAATTGTAATTCAGAAGCAGGTAACCACACAAAACTACTTTCTATATTTATTCATGTTATGCCATCTGCCATAAGACATCTATTGTTAGATAGCTTGTTTACAGAATTTGCTTTTAAACACGAACGAATTCCGAATATTGAATACATCACGATAGAAGACATCCGAAAAGTTACATCCTACCTCATGAAATAATCTCAATAAGAAATTTTTCTTTCAAAGTTTGAAGTCAAAACTCGAAAGTAGATTTTTCATGTGACCCAAAGAGAACCACAACTTTTTGTTGAAAACTCCAATAAAATTTTCATATCTCGGTAATCAAGTTTCAGAAAACTAAACCATTCTAGATTTTTCTATTACCTTCTAATACTCATCAAATGAGTATAGTTTCGTTCGGAAAGTCGTTTGACATTTGAAGAGAAATAAACGTTAATATATATTAAAAGAAAAACAGAGCAGATACATTCATGTTATTTATCTCACTATTTTTGATGAATACTTTGCGACTTGATATTTTTATTCTGTACTCATACACTCACACTGACAAATGTAATATTCATTATTGTTTTATTCAGTCATTGATCCTATAGTAGTTAATGACGTCAATATTTGGGAAAGTGCATCTACAAAAGGGAACAGCATCGCATTCATACTATCTTCTTGTATAAGTAGTCTTTGACGGCAAGTGTGTTATATTTTTATGCAGGTTATTTCAACCAAATCGGCCTTTACTTGATTTTATTAGGTCTTTGCCGGTTGTCATATTCTTTGTTTTGTATGGTGAACATTTGCAAATGACTTTATTTTGGATCAGACACAAGAGAATAGTGAGATAAGAATGAAGATAACATAAAAGAACTTGTCTTTTCTAATGCAAATAGTCGATCAATAGAAGTAGATGGTAAGATAGGATTCTTATTATGAGATTAATTAATTAAAACTTGCTAAGAATATTCAAAAACATCTAAATTTGCTCGTTGACTGCTGGCTAAAAAAAGAAGATTCTTGAGTTTGAACACTCTAATGTCCGCGCCACAATTAAAGAGAAGTGGATGTAAACTCAATAGTTCGACAATGGCAATAACTACAGTGACCTGCTGTTTTCATCAATCGAAATAGGAGAACTCTGAGCATCTTTTTTGTCTGATACTATAAAAGACAAAATTATTTTAAAACTCATTATCTTTGCAAAATATTCCAAAAATAAACACATGAAAATGATGTTTCGTTTTTATTCTTTTTTAGTTTTGACGTGTGCCTGAGATAGAAAAACTTCGGATTTGTTGTTTAAGGCACAATGACAAGATCATGATCTTCTCATATATTAATATTGAGCAAACAAAATCACATATATATTTGGTCAAATTATACAAAATTATGTTGATTTTTAGCAGACTTTTATGATTTTTTATCAAAACTTCTTTGAAACGAACCACTTTTTCGTGTATTGTTTTTGAATATTTTGCGAATATAATGGGTTGGAAAATAATTTTGTTTTATATAGTATCAAATAAAAAGGCGTCCGAAGTTCTAATTTTTCGATTTATGAAAACCGCAAGTCACTAGCTATTATACCATCGTCGAATTACTGAACTCACACATCTCTCGGTTCAAACTCTGACAAGAAAATTTGTTTGAATTTTACAATTTCAAGTAATAAAATGTTAGAAATAACTAAAAAAAATTTTAATTTTGTATTTTTGATAGTCTCAACATTTTTACGTCAGTTATTCAAATTAGTGAAGACAAAATACGATAATATTCAGAAACTGAATAAGCTTTTATTTGTGATCCAATGTTTGGATTGAGATTGCACGACATCTGTCGATGATGTGTTACCATTGAATACGCGGTTTTGTGCAATGGACATTTCCGTATGCTTTCGTTCAATCAAACATCTTCGTAGTTTCTTTCTGTACATTGCTATGCTCCAGTATTATGAATCACTATATTAAAATAATAACATTTTTCTCTTTTTTCATTTGACTGTATTCTCTTTTAAATAAATTATCCTATATTTTATGCGAATAAATCTAGGTAAAGTTATTTTTAAATGATTTTATCGTTGGTTTTTCATACTTCATCAAATATTTTATTGCTAAATTGTACATATTCATTAGAACTACAACTATACTTGAAAAGCAAGAAGTTTTTTTTTTCGTTTATTTCCAACAATTCTCTTGGAAAAAAAAACAGTTAAACAAGGAACCAAAAGTAAATTTATAGTTCTAGTAAAAACCTACAGATTAGCAACAAAACATTTGATCATACACGACAATATTCCATAAAATTTACTGCGTATTACAAAAACTCTTAACTAACTTCGTCATTTTTTGCTCGTTACACATGAGTCATATTCAAGTGATCAATGTTTACTCAAAATGAATCACAATCGCTTCCTCTTATTCATGTCGATGAATTTCTTCTGGTCGTGTTTTCAATTATGATTGAATTGCGATGCAGTTACGCTATAACTGCGTCGTAGTTGCTAAAAAAGAAGCGATATGGATACTTATCTCGTGTCTCATTTAATCGTATCTTTTGTAGAACTCAAATGTATTTTCGGAGAAAGTAGTAAGTTTAAGTTTCAATTCAAAGTTTTACGACTTCTTTCTGCTCCGTCTTCCCATTACAGGCCTTAGAAATGAATATTAAAGAACTTTAAATAAGTTTCCATAGCAACCATATGCATACATCAATTTTAATTACGCGAGAAAAAAATAAGAAATTTACATATCGAACAATAGTGCTTGAAATTTTAAGATCAGAGAGAGAAGAGATAAAAGGAAAGAATGTAGAATTAAGATACTAATATGCACCCTAATACTAGTGAGGCAATGTTTTTTTCTTATCGTAGTTAGGGCTTCAATATCAATCTGTAGCTGTTTCAAATCGTGAGAAATATCATTGTAGAGACGCGCAAATGCAAAAATAATTTGTATTATGAAAAGAATATGATCACCAAAACTTACAATTTGAGAATTTTTATTGTCTTCTAGTCTCATGTACTACCATGTGTTGTTATGTATTTGCTGACACGTGACAATACAAATTCTCAAATTCTAGATTTTTTCTCCCACTACAAGACAATAAATGACAATACATAAGAATATTGTGTTGCCATGTATTGTCTTGTAGTAGGGGAAAAAAACCTAGAATTTGTATTATCAGGTGTCGACAATACAAATCCTCAGGATGTGGAAGTATGGGATATGCACGTATAGTCGATGAACATGCCACCTTTTTTCCTCTCACAGAAACACTCGCACGGTCTGATTGCCTATACTGCGATATATGTTTTAGATTCGACAAATTTTCAAATTGTAAGCTTGGGAGTGAGAGGGGAAGTTATATTCTTTTCGAAATACAATTTTTATTCGTGTTTGCACAGCCCTCGTTCATTGAGATCATTTATTGGTTCATACATTCTTGATTGTTGCCGCATTTTTTTCTTCTTCATCATATCACAAAACCCATAATATTACTATTTGATGAAAAAGAAAATAAGTTCTTTATCATAAACTAATGAACAGTGTATTTAGTTTTATATATTGAAAAAGCTCATAACAATTTCATTATATTCATAGTAATTTACAAAAAACAACGTTTTAATATATTTTCAGTAATGTTAATCACTGCTAATAAGCAAATCAATCTTTCATTGTGTAAACCTTTCATTCCTTTACTTCGCTTCTTATAAACTTTAAAATATATTTTATTATAATTTAAAAAAGCGTTATATTAAATAATTTTCTAGCTTATATTTAATATGTGAGTTTCACATTTCAACCCCCAAACGGCTGCACTAACAAGCTTTTCTTCTTCCAATCTTTCCAAGTTATTCTTACGTACTTATAGTATTTTCTTCCATTTGATATATTCTTTGATGGATATCACTATAGCTCTGAACTTGAATAATCGATTTCTTCTCATTATCATCCGTTGGTAAGATGAGAAGAAATGTGTTTTCTGTAGTACCACTGTGTTTTTGTTTAGAATGTAGTTAGTCAGATTTCTCGTTAAGTTTTCAAGCGTACAGTATTGAGGGTTGCAAAATCCACTAAGATCTGCTTTCTTCGAATCACCATTAGACTCTGAGTCTTTTCTACTTGTGCATTACTACATGGTTTATTTACTTGTGAATACACGACAAATATTCGTACGAGTTTTTATCCATTATTTTTCATAAATATAAATGTATAGTTCATCTTTTGTAGAATTTATTGTAATTTTTGGACAAACGAAACTAAGCGATTTATTCAAAAAAAAAAACCAGATCTGATGACTTTATTCACAACGATAAATTGAATAGATTGTTATTTTACACAACTGTGAAATCGTATCAATATAGAAAATTCTTTTCAATTCAGAAAATATTCTCCATTGAAGCGTTTAGGATAGGAGAACTACATTTTAAACGAAATAAAATTGTCAACTGAATTTTAAGTGCTCTTCCGTATGCTCGAATGTCATACAAAGAAGAACGGAGATAATTGTCTGCTTCATAAAATCTTTTATTTTTTTCATTATTTATCTTCTATAGTACGATGAATCAATGGTCATTGAAAATGAAAAACAAATTCATTTGATAAAAGAATAGCAAATATTAAGAAAGACGTAGCACTCCTTATATCAAGTATAGACTCTATTCTTACAATAAACAAAATATGTTTTTCAATGATCAAACTTTAAAACAACACATTTGATATTTATTTTATTTTATTTTATTTTTTAGATTCTGTTTCTTTTGTTAAACAAATATCTTCTAAGCATGCTACTTGAAAAATTTCTCTTTCCAGCACCGAATCCATCTCATTATACATTGACATCGCATGCAGAACATCTTTTTTGGCTTCCACCTGATTCGAATTCACGTAAAACATCGCCAATCCCATGTATGCTTTATTCTCCACCGCGTGAAGCTCAGTTTTTCATTATCTGGTGTCATGGAAATGGTTGTGATATTGGCAGCATGGATAAGACATTGACAGCATTGAGTCGACGAGTTCGTGCACATGTACTCATCTTCGAATATCCTGCCTATGGTGTATTGAAAGGAATAACATCATCACCAAGTCAAGCATCAATAAATAACCATGCCCAATGTGCCTATTCGTTTATTCGTCATACGCTCAAATGGCCAACGGATCGAATAATTATCTATGGACATTCGATAGGGTCTGGTGCCGCATGTCATGTTGCTTCGACTCAACCAGTCGGTGCACTTATTCTTCAATCTGCATATACGTCAATCAGAAATTTAGTTCGAGAAAAAATTGGCATATTATCAAACGTGGTTATGGGTTCATTTTGGGATAATTATGAAGCAATACAAAGTATTACATGTCCAATATTATTCATTCATGGACAACGTGATACATTAATTCCATCACAACATTCTCAAATATTGTTTGATTCGTTGAATCTTATTGACAAGCAAAAACTTGTGTTGTTACCGAACGATGATCACAATTCGATATCCGATTCGACGATTCTAATGCATGTTGAGTCGTTTCTCAATCAGCATTTTCAGCCGGCAACAGAACCATTCCCTCGAGTAGAAATTGATCCGATTTTACGTGAACCGCCGCCGACTTATGGGAAGTCAAAATCAAGTATTTTCTCTTCTCTAATCTGCAGCTCAAGCAATTCTACTATACCAACACTACGTTCGTTCAATTCACAATGTAATAATGAATGAAACAAAACTTTGGTTTTTCTAAGATAGCTTCTACCAAACGGTTTTTTTTCAAGCGATGCGCTCGACCTAAGCTCATTCGAGTCTTTTATGCCAAATGAAACTGAGACTTTTGTAAAGCATATTTGTTGATGAGTTTTGAATTGTCTAGCAGTAAAAGTGAAACACCTTCATGTATATCTCACAGTCACATGGGACCCATGTCAACATTCTATTTTGAATTTTTGAATCTTTAACTTAAATTTCAGATACATAAAAAACTTCAAGCGAAAACAATTCCGCATTTTCCTCTTGCAATGATGCCCTTTCACCACTGTCACAGACCATATAACAGATTTCCATAACCTGTTCTTTTGATCCTGTCATGAACTGTAATTTATTTACATTTCTGGACTGACTGAAAAGTAGCCATAAAAATATTTCATGTAAACTTGTAATTTTTATCTGCTCATAGCTGAATTAGAACAAGAGTGACGAAAACATACTTGTAGAATATTCTGGAATCTTTCAAAGAATCGACGTTCTGATGATAAAAACCAGTCAATAACTGAATAGTGTGATAAGTGAACAGTGATGTAAGTGATCGCAATAATCCATAAGTGTCCTGAGAAATGAGAAGAAATGTTGAAAGAAGGCGATGGTGAGTGAAATTGACTGATGGTTGATGTGGTATGGGTGCGATTGTAGATGTGAGATGTGAGTTTAGGTGTTTAACAAAGACAATTATTCGTACCCATCCGTACACCCACACCCATCCTTTGGGTAAAAAAAAACAAATTTTTCGAGAGGAGTCGATTTCATAACTGGTTCATTCCTCTTTTTTGTTTGTCACTATTTGCTCCAGAGCATGTTTGAATCCCAGCTAGTATAGCTAAAGTTGGACAATTTTTTCTGTGTTAAATTTGCTAGTGGATGCATGTAGTTTCTCTCTCGATTGTGGTACTACGAATAAAATTTTTGTCTGCCAGATTCATCCAAAATATTCTTGAACAAGAACCGCTTGGTCTTTCTGAATAATGTCTTTTTGTGTCTCTAGTTTCCTAAATACAAATGCTTTTCAATTCATATTAAACGTAGATTAAAAATGTATACAGACAACGCCTTTATAATGTGTGCACCTTCTTATAATAAGAAGCTCGAATTCACTTTGAGAGATTTCTGCTTGAAATCGGTTACTTCTTAATGAAAATCTCCTTATAATGATACATCAATTTTTGTTTTCTGATTTCGACCAATTACAAAAAAATCTCTGATGATAACGGTTTTTGTTCGATTGCTAGTCTTATATGTTTTGATACACAGATCCGACGGGAGCATCTCTGTACAGTGAACATCTAAATATTTTCTTAAATGTTCACATTAGATAACTTTTTATTAGAATCATCTAAATTGACATCATTGTCTCGTTGAATTTTCTATGAAAATTAATACTAAATTATATCTTATTATTTTAGTGTTGATACTTAAATATTCTTTGACAGAATCAATGATAACAAACAAATGAATAAAAAAAAGGTTCTGAAATTCGACTTGTAAACGATATATTATTGAAAAATTCAAATATTTTATTAAACTTAATAAGTTTTCATGACTCATGCTAACTAATTTTTATAAATATTTCCAAAATTCGATATTTATTTATAGTGTAGAAAAAGATTGAAATAAGCAAGCATTTGTACGAAAAATATCAAGTTTTAGTTTTTCACTATGGCAAAAAAAATAAATAACAAGATATCTTATCTTTATCATGTGTTCTTCGGATTGTAAATGCACGTTTATACAAATGAAGATAAATGAAATTATGAGTTCATTCACATGTAGTTTGTCTATTTGACAGATGTCACTCATTGACACAAGCCTATCTTTTTCTAATGAATCATTTTTTCTTAAATACCAATTGCATTTTTTTATTGTTGTTGATTTCCCTTCTGAGTTAACTGAAGATCAGAAACGTTGCTTTCTTAGCCTGGCATATACTTTTTTAGGTATATACTTACAATATATAATTTATCAGATTAATCATGTCATATTAGAAGGAAAAACTTCATTGTCAAATAGTAAAACAAGACTATTTTGTTTAGTTTATTGAATTTTCTTCACTTTTTAATTTTACAATTCGATCAATAAAATAGGATAATCATGTATTTAACATTTGAATCAAAATTACCATTGATATATGTCTGAAGAATTAGTAACTTGACAAGAAAAATTCTAATTATAATCAGTTTATGTACTCAACAAAAATTGATTGGAAATTATTTCTTTCAATAATAATTTCAACGAATGCATGTCATGAAGAATTACAGTCTGTACACAATGGCATTTGATCGAATTGATCTTTTAGAAGAAAAACATTGAAAACATTTTAATTTTTCTTTTATTACTAAAAAACAGAAATAAAAGTGAACTTATTTTAATTTTTAATAAAAAAGCAAAAACAAATCCAATCTATATATATATAGATAGATAGAGATTAATCAGGTTTTATTGTTTCTATAGGACGACAATGAATACAAAATCGGTCAATTTGGATAATGTACCGGTAAGAAGAAAACCTATTCTTTAAATTAAATAAACAAAATATTTTAATAAATATCTCAAGGCTTATTGTGCTCGTGTTAAAATAAACGATATTCAACGAACAAAAGAAGATTATGTTCGTCAACAAATAACGACTATTTTTTCATCAAATACATTCGAATCATTACTTATTAATGTTGAACAATTACGTATGAGACTTTTACAACTGGGATGCTTTCGTGACGTTAAAGCTATCATTGATAAAGCTCAAGGTTTGAAAACAAAAAAGAAAAAGAAAACTGTTTTTTAAAATTAATAATTCATATATTTAGACTCAAAGCTTGAGAATAGTTATGATATAACATATGCAATTGAAGAACATCGACCAATATCGGGAGGAATGAATACAGCTGTTGGACAAAATGAAGGCTCACTTGTAAGTAAATCAAAACAACTAAAATTGATCCGCAAAACATTTAAAAGAATTTTATAAGTATAACAATCGACGTTGGGTCAATTTTTGATAACGCCTACCGAAACAAGAATTGTTCGGGCCTGTCTGACTCCTGGTTGAACTTAGAATGCCACTATTCATAAGAATATTTCTCTTACAAAAAGGATTTCTAAACAATCAAAATCGACAGTGACGGAAGTCGTTTATTATCATAGTGATTACGAATTGAATAAGGCCGAACAATGTTAACACTTGAAAAGAACAGCATGAGAAAGATAAATCGAATTACTTATTAAATCAAAAGATCCAGATACGTTCGTGGATACTTCAATTTCTTGAAGACTATCATTGATTAACATAGATTTTCACGAATAGAATACCATTTAATCAATTTCAAAGAGCCAAATAGAGATTAGTCATATTGTTAATTTTAGTACAAAGCTAATACTGTTATACTTCAGTAAAATTCATGCTATTTAATGCAGCTGATAGTGTATCAGGCCTCGAAACAAGCCGTCCAGCTCGACTTTACCCAAGGAAATTTTTCTCTCGAGTCGATCGGATCACCCTTGTTGTCAGGCTGGTCCGACCTGATGTTTTTATTTCGATTTTTATTTGTTACCAAACTTCATGTCTGTTTAGGTAACAGAAGTCATTAAAAAATTTTACGATTGAAAAACTATATGAATTTCCAGTACGATCAATGTGATAAACCATAGGATTTTCTTAAACTGATCGCATCTTTCGTCCACAAGTAATGTTCTGTAGTGCATAAAATACATTAATTAATATGAGAATGTGATTGGCAGAAAAAAATGTGTCGAAAAATAAATTATCGTCGACAGCAGGATCTGCAAATAACATCTTATCTAACTATTCAACTTGGACTAACGAGTGAATTTATGGAAAGCATATTATTTTTTGAAAACAGAGCAGTCTTTTGGATTTTGGATCATTTTTTCGAGCGAAAGTTTTTCTCAATTTTGACCATTTAGTGAAGTAGCACGCAGTCGTAAATAACCTTGCACGAGAAAAAAAAATGTTTTAATATTTATAGTTTCAAGAACTTTAAGTATCAAAAATTGTTTTCTTCCTCTTCACAGACTATTTACGACTTTGTGCTACCACACTGATCAAAATCGAAAAAAAAACATGTCAATCAGAAATATAATACATTTTTCATGGGTTTAACCTAATAAAAAATTCTGTGCCATAGGATATCGAGTTATGCGTAGTGATTATTGTTGAGTTCAAATAACTTACAACATATTTTATTTGTTCGTTTAACTGATCAATCTATTCAACTTATCTCATATTGATTTTATTTCAATTTCGACAATCTGAGCTCATCAAACTCATTAAGACAATCAGTTATTTGCTTATTGATATTTTTTGACAAGAAATTGTTTTTGGATAAAAGTAAATTTTAAAAAGTTACGAATGTAATTGTCCATTTTAACAAGATTCACAAGGCTTGAAGCAAGATCAGTCGATTTTCTTATCAATTTTTAGGTCACTGAAGCTTGTCCATCTTACTCGTTTTTATCGATTTTCATAGTCTTAACGACTCAGAACTATGAGTATGAGAGTTTCCAACTAAAAAAATTCATGTTGTTATCGAAATCTCAGCTCTATATTTTGAATGTACTCTTTCTGATAGTGCAACAAAAGTCTCAAAATAAAGTTAAATGTATCGATTATGGTTATAAAAAGTAAGCCAACTATTAGAAGTTAAGTTCAATATAAACTAAACATTTTCAACCTCATTTTCGCTTGACTACTTTTAACCAACTATCAGAAACTTTCGATAGCTAGTAGTTTCAAGTCATGCTTTTGTTGCATAAATGTCTGAAACGATTTCGTTTTATTCTGAAAACTGTGACAATATCTAGGTATTAAGGAACATAAAAATATGAAGCCTTATATAAAAATTGAACTGTGTAGCTAATTGCTGTCTTCGTATTGGCAGTAGAAGCTTATGCAAATTAAAAAGTTTTTCAGTCGTGTTATATAATGATTTCGAATAAGAAAACATCAAACTTATCAGTTCTTGTAAAGAAATTTTATATTTATTGAAGAAAACCAGGCAAAGCAAAACATGAATGTTATTCAGTACCAGATGTTGTGGGTTATTTAAATGAAAAGTTTTGAAAGAGTTCTTCCTTTGTTCGTAGTATTAGCATATATGAAACGCGACAGATTATAATTGAAGTTGTTACTTTTAGAAACTCGAAAGGTTACATCAGGAGTTACACATACTACGTCTTCTTGAAGCTGTACAAAATATAAAATAAAAAGAGATTATTGAATATTTGTTGAAAATAAAAAAATTGAATTTTTATAAAATAGTGTTATTTGTTATTTTAGTGCACCAATTTTTCATTACCAAATCTATTTGGTCGTGGTGAAAAATTAGGTGTTGATTATTCATATAGTAATCGTGGTAATACTGAAGGACGAATATTTTATTCAATGCCAACAAAACTTGATCCAAATAAACAGTAATTAAACTTTTCTATATTTAATAATTTAAATTTATCTTTCTCTAGATTTTCAATTTCTTTGTTTCGAACTTATTTTGATAATACATGGAGTTCTTTTAAACAAGATGATCATGGAATCAATATATCTTATAATGTAAGATACAAAAAAAAAAGAACAAAGAACTATTAGCTTTGACAGAATAAATTAGATTTCTCAGGTTTTAAGAGTATCTTTTTCAAATTGTGACGTATATAGTTGAATTTTTGTTCAAAAGATAGCCTATGAAATACTTTACACAACCTTGTGAAAAGAACTCTTCCAACAAATAACTATGAAATTATATATAATCAACTTTAGAATGATCCAAAATGTTCTCTTTCAAAGCATTCGTTTTCATATTAACAGTTTTTGCACTACTTCTTTCATCACCATATATAATGAAACTGAATAGGCCATTACTATAGTCTATGAAAAGTTTTATCAGTTTGATGAATACTTTTTTTTTAATATACTGTGAATTTACTAGGACCAAATCTTTTCTTTGCTCTCCTATATTCATGTTCGGAGAATCTTTCATTAAAGTTCATCTCAAGTTTAGTTTAGTTATGTTAAATGAAAAACGATTACACATTCATATACATGACTAAACTGAACGACAATACTGTTTCTATCATTTCTATACGAACGCAATGTTGCAAAGTGTCTTTTCTATAATGCTTGAAGTGTATAAAGAGAATGATTGATGGTTTCATTTGAGTTTTTCAGAAAATTGGATCATGACATCTCATAATCGTATTCCAATATTTTCTTTTGAGCTCTGTTAGAAAGAATAAACCTAAAAATGAAAATACATAAAATTTGAATTAGACTAGAGTCTCGCATCTGTTTTTGGTGGAAGAAGTGAAATCATTAGTTTTATTGAAACACGCATCGGAAAGTGAGCCATTTTGGAGCATTGTAGTGTTGACTAGATATAATTCTGTAGTTATTCGTTGAAAGATCTCTTTTCATAAGATTTTGTAGAGTATTGCATGGACTGTCTTTTGAAAAAAGATTCAAGAATATACATCACAATTTGAGAGATATTCTCAAAATATTGAAAGATTTATTTATTCTGCTGCAGTCGATCATTTTTCATCATAAATTATAAACAAAAAAAGTTATTTTTTTTTCTTTAAAGATTCCTCTTGGTATTGTTCCTAATGCTGTTCATAGTTTTACTTGGGAAGGTGTTTGGCGTTCAGTCTTAGCTGCAAGTTCAGCAACATCTCTTGATGTACGAAAAGATGCTGGTCATACATTAAAATCATCATTAAAAGTTTGTTGTTCTTTTTTTTTTTTATTTATAGTTAAATTTTATCAAATTTGTTTAGTATACAGCTACAATTGATAATCGAGATCATCCAGTCATAGCACAACGTGGGTCATTCTCTCAAAGTTCACTTGAATTAGCTGGTCTTGGAGGCGATAGTCAATTTGTTAAATGGTCAACACAACATCAAATTAATTTACCATTACCATTAAAATCAGTTTTTCAATGGTGTTTTTCAGCTGGTGCTATTTGGCCTCTGTTACAAAGAGGAAATCAAACAATTAAAATAAATGATCGATTTTTTCTTGGTGGACCTTTAAATGTTCGAGGTTTTGATTATCATGGAGCGGGACCACATAGTGAAGGTTAAATAAATGATTTTTTTTTTGATTAGGAGTAGAAAGAGTATGTTTCTATTTTCTTTTTCTTTATATTTAGGAGCAGCTTTAGGTGGTGATTGTTATTGGGCAACAGGTCTACATCTTTATACACCTCTTCCATTTCTTTATCATCGAGAAAATTTAATGTCTTATGTTCGTCTTCATTATTTTCTTAATGCTGGAAATGTATTTAATTCCCAATCTGTTCGTAAGTATTAGTGTTTTGTTTTTTTTTCTTTTAGAATTTTTATAATTATTTATTTTCTTTTTATAGATTCAACACAATCATTGTTGTCTCAATTAACTAATACAACTCGATTATCATGTGGTCTTGGTGTTGTATTGAATTTAATGAATGTAGCTCGACTTGAACTTAACTATACTCTTCCATTATGGACACAAGTACATGATCGGTTAGTTTTGTTTATGTTATTAAAGATATTATATTATTATATCATTGTTATTTTTCTAGAGTGATCAAAGGTTTTCAATTTGGTGTGGGATTTACGTTCATTTAAACTTCATAGAAAATAACCTTTATTAGACTTTGTATCGTCTTTTTTTTTCTTTTTTGAACGATATGTAGAATTTTTTTTCTTACATATAGAAAAATTTTATATCGAAAGAAAAATGTGTAGGCTTGTCACTTGAAGGAATGTATTTGACATTAATGATCTTAAATTGAATTTAATTTAGATGAAATTCTAATACTCTTATTGAGACTTAGTTAAAATAATGTTGGTGAAAATATTTATTTCTTGTTCTGTTTTCCCTCATGTTTCTTTTTGTCGTTTTTAGATGACAACAAGATAAATATTACCATGGTAATACGTCATTTCATATGTAGATATAATGATGTATAGAAAAACAGAACAGAATCATTTATTTTATCATAGTCTTTAAATATTGTGCTTGAAAACATTTGTACTGTTGAATACAAGAGAGATTACATTTCTATAGTGTAATAAAATCAGGATTGAATTGTATTCAATGAAAAAAGTTCTTTAGTTTTTGGGAAACAGGCGTTAAGATTTTTTTTTTGCTTGTCATTTTATCACTATTGGCAATTGTCAAAAAAAAATTTTATTTTACTTTTATCATTAAATTTTTCTTTCAGAATAATCGTGACATGATTTTAGATTGTTCTAGTTATAAAATCAATAAATATACGGCTAGACATTTTTCATTAGATATTCGAAAATATCACTTTCGAAATCTTAATAAAAATATATCAATTAGATGATATGCATCGATTGATCAATTACTATCTTTCATATTTATGTTTCGTTCTGATTAATTATGTTTTTCATTATTGACAAGGCTAAATAACTTATTCAAATAACAATATTAGACGCACAAATTATTGGACAAGCATTTACTCGAGCTTTACGTCAAAAACTTCAATCTATTGAAAAAGAAAACAATTCTATGTTCAAATAAAACAAAATTGATTCAAATCTAGATGCTACGACTATAACACAAAGTGGTCAAATATCAGCAAAAGCTGTACAAACTGATTCGTGTTACTAATATGACCTTGCAGATAAACTTTTCTCTTTCTATAATACTTTTTAAATAGATTTTTGTTATTTAGGAAGCTAAACAAATTTCAAATTTAACCGATAATGATCTAAATGATAGTGAAAAATAAAATAAACAATATGAAAATTCATTTTATTTAAATGATGAAACACAAAGTGGTTTTTTTTTTTTTAAATGAAAAATTTATCGAACAAAATAATGTATGAAGGAAGAACTTAAAGTATGACTTTCATCGATGAAAAATTCTAGTAGACGTATATAAATAGAAAATTCTAATAATATAAATTCAAATTAATTATTTCTTGTTCTATTCCATTTTTTTTTTTTTCTTCATATAAAATTTTTTTTTTAGATAATCATAATGACAGACGATCAGCCATGGATGATAGTTCAAAAACAAGTTGATGTTTTTGATAAATTATCAGCTTTTATTTATTGTGATCGACGACAACATTTACTTGTATTCAATCATTCAGCTAATAGAAATATAAGTATTTCTTCATCTAGTTCAACAATAAGTATTCCTGATGCTCTAAATATAAGTCATATACGTTCAACCCATGCTGTTGACTTACAAACAGTTAGTAAGTATCATTTTTTAGATTTATTCAAAAAGATATTTCAATTTTATTTGATAATACTGTGTAATTATTTTAGTTTATCTTGAGCGTATTCAATATATACAACGAGGTGGTAGTAGTACTAATCGTCGTTCAGCTCGTGATTACAATCAACTTCAAACAAATCGTCAACCTAATCAAAATGGTCATTATGATCCTCAAAAAAGACAAATAGAAATTTATTATTCTAAAGATCAACATCGTTCAGAATATCTTTATAAAAGTATCACTTTTCAATTGATGATAGTTGGTGAGAATATATTTTTGTCTAGAATTTTATTTTTGTTAATATAAATAATTATATTATTAGATGATGAATGTGATAAATGGATTAATGCACTTTATACAGTTATAGATGAAGCTAAAAATTTATCTGAGGCAGGAAAAAGAAATCGGTAATAATTCATATTTTTCTTTGATTTTATTAATATATTATTTTTTGTGTTTAGTTGGCTTTTACGAGAATATGAAAAATTAAAAAGATCATCTGGCGGTTTAACAATCGATTCAATAAATAATTGGCTTAGTTCTCATATTGGTCTTATTGGTGAAAAACAAATTGTAGAAAAACGGATACAAGAAAATAAAATATTTGCTCAATCAAATGAAATAACTGATTCAGTTTTTAAAGCAACATATAATTATTTGACTAATCAACAACAAAAAGTTAATTATGACTTCTATTAGCATCATATGAAGTATTTTTCTTTTTTATTTAGGTTCTTATGAAAATTCTTGCGTCTGATATAATAGAAGAAAAGTAATTGGTTTTTATATATTGATATGATAATCTTAAACTTTTTTCTTTTTAGTCAAATTTCACTTGAGGCATTTGCTTCACGTGTTACGAATAATGAAATTGATTTGGTACATCACGAATCAGAGAACATACGGGAATTTTTAAGATTAAATAATAATCAAAGAGAAATTACTCTTAAACAAGTAACAGATACTTGCAACGTCATATAAAACTATATTGTTTTTATTAAATTTAGGCTATTGATTATTTATGGTCTGAAGCCAATTCAGCATTTGATCCAATATGTCGTACACAGTGTAATCAAGATATGAATCAACCATTAAATCATTATTGGATATCATCAAGTCACAATACGTAAATATTATTATTTTAGTTATTATTTATTTGGTATTTTTCTTTCTTTAGTTATTTAGCTAAAACTCAAATATTTAATCCAGCTTCTGTTCATTGTTATATTCAATCTTTATTAAAAGGATGTCGCTGTATTGAAAGTAATGAAAACAAAAAAAAGATTTTCTTTTTGTTTTTTCAAAAACAAATGCTCTTTTAAGTTGATGTTTTCGATAGTCGAACTGGTGGCGAACCAGAAGTAACACATAAAAATACTCGTATTAAGCCAATACCATTACGTGAGATTCTTGAAGCTGTTCATGATTATGCTTTTGCTACTAGCGAGTATGGATTTATAAAAATATTTTACTATGTTTTTTTTCTGTATCTATTTATTAAACTTTAGATATCCAATAATAATTTCAATTGAAAATCATTGTTCAGTACAACAACGTTTTGTTATGACTTCAATATTTAAAGAAATCTTTCGTGGTAAGTTTTGTATCTAAGAAAAACCAAAAACAAAATTATAGATTTAAAAAAAATATATACAACCATGTTGAGTAGAGAGTCTTGTTCAGTCACCTTTATCACCAAATGAAACTTGTTATCCTTCACCTAAGCAGTTAAAAAGAAGAATTATTTTAAAGGTAGTGCTGCTGAAATATAAACAAAGCTGCTTTTTTTTTGATTAATACAATTAATTTTTATAAATAAATAAACATTTTATTTTAATTAATAGGATTCAAAAAGTGATAATGTATTAACAATAGAGTCACAAGCAAGCTCAGAATCAGACGAGCAAGTGGATTCTCCACCAAATGGTCTTGATGGTCATATTCAATTATATGATTTTGCAAAAAAAGTATATTTATTTTTATCAGAATCGATTCATGATAATTGTTTTCGGATTTGTTCCTAATTGCTATTGAGAGTGTTAGATACGTATGATCATAGGAAGTTCAAATATTCTCAAGTAAAAGGTACACTAATACAAAACAATAAATCAATGATACTAGTTAAATACTTCATGTGAAAAATTGGTTTTGCTTACGAGGAAACTCCATCGATTGATAAATATCTTTTCAGTCGAAACCACGTGTATTACATACAACCCAATGAACTATAGATATTCTGAAAATATTTCAGATCTTTAGCTTATTACTCTCAGGATACTGCACTTGGACGGTAGTTTTAAGCAAATGTTATAGTCTCCCTCAATAAGACCAGAGAATTTAACTTTCGAGTTTCGGCTTGAAACTCTGAAAAGAGACAGTCTTTGATGAGAATAGTTTCTTGTAAATATTTCATATGTTGTCAGTGTTCTTATCTTAAAATACAGTTATGTTTAAAGTGTGTCTTTTACATTGCTCATATATAACAACAGATTCGATGTTCTTATTTCAATATAGAAGTAGATCAAAAGGCTTGAAATTTTCACAGTAAACTGCTCTTGTCTTAAGACCTATCGCTAAACAAAGTTTTAAGTCGAAATTCTGAAATCAGTTTTTCTAATGTTTCTGAGGAGAACTGGAACATTCATTTAAAAATTGTTGTAAAATTGCAGTATCTATCCAGCAATAAGCTAGAGATCAGAACTCTTTTCAGAATATTCGAAACTTATCTGGATCTACATTATACACATAGTCTCGACTAGAGATGTATGAGACTAAGTTTTTGTTTTTTGGTCCTGGTTCTGATATTCGTCCTGACCTAGAGAAAACTATTTCAGAAGTTTTTTATACCACATCGAAAATAATTTCTTCAATACTCAGTGTTTAGCATTTTTTTCGGTCATCTCTCTTGATTTTTATTCTGATTCGTATGATTTATAAAATAATTTCCTTAAAACCACAAAATATTTTACTAAAAACTTGAGTTCCGATCTTGGGAAATTTTTTTCTCGTAGTTTTGGCCCTGTATATCCCCCTAATCTCGACTAAAAAGCGATTCATCAGTTTGAGAAATGCACTTCGTTAGATGTTCTTATTCCATATTACTTCAGTATTTAAATAAAGCAGCAGCTGTCAAAACTTGTCTATTAATATTTAATGGATCTACTCAAAAGAATATATCTCATTTTTGACATTAAATAACGAATTCCGAGTAAACTTAAATTTATTCACTTTCTTCTCTTCATATTATCTATTTCATATCGCAATAAATACTATAGTACATAGTAAAATCGCAGCAAATTAGCAGGTAAACAAGTCATGAAATGTACTTGTCATATTTATCAAGTCTTATCATTAATTCAATTCTGCTATGTTTGTCAATATCGTAAATTTAGATTCTAGAACTAACACATAGATAGTGAATCGTAATGCTAATAATCAACTACGCAGTTATCTACTAACTTTATGGTTTAATAAATGGAATCCCATAACAAAGAAAAATATGTTAATTATACTGTACTCAAATAAAACATGAATAAAACTGTTTTTTTTTTCTAATGTTACTCAAAAGATATTCAAGTCTAGTTCCGATCCATACAAATTTTTTCTCACCATAGAACTTAACGTTATTTTCTTACACTATTAATACATTTGAAAATATAGATTAATTCGCTGACATTCTTCTTAGAGGCTTACATAAAAAAGCTGAGTTGTTTTAATTTTGATATTAATTTCAATTTATTCATGTTTAATTCACATAAATTTAGCAAAGAAATAAGTAATTCAGTATTATTTTCATTATTCGAATATGTAGTAATTAGAATACATATTATTGGTTGTGTTTTTATTTTTAGGATTGGTTTCATTATAATTATTCATTTCAAGATAAAGATCTTTATTTGGGTAAAGATCAAGATATACATAAACAACGAAATTCAGATGAAGACACTAGTGATGATGAAACTAAAGAAGTTAGTTAAAATAATATTCTTTTTTTTTTAATTTGATTTTTCTTTTTTCCTTATAAAAGAATAATAAATCAGACGATGAATTAACACAAATTTGGTATCATAGAGCTATTTCACATCAGGATGCAGAACGTATTCTTTTATCAAATGCTGGTTATGAATCTGGAACTTTTTTAATACGAAAAAGCCCTAATAAAAATTGTTATTGTGTTACATTTCTGTAAGTCTTAAGTTTCTTTTCTTTTTTGCTTTGTTAAGATTTATTTACAAAGAAATCTATTTCTTTTTTTTCAAGTGCATCAAATTCTACGGTTAAAAGTATTCAAATCGAAGAAGAAAGAAATAAGGATGGAAAAATTCTCTATTTCTTATCACAGAAAAAGTTTGATTCAATACCAGATCTTGTTTCTCATTATCGAACATATGATTTTGCTGAGATTGTTGGAGAATCAACAAAAACAATATCATATCGATTAACAAAACCATTACCAAGAGCAAAATGGCGTCAAGAACTTCAACGACAACCATGGTATCAACCAAATTTAACGCGACAACAAGCTGAAGATTTATTATTAGGTGTAAGTTTAAACAAAACAAAAAAGAAAACAAGAGAAGTCGATAATTGATGAAATCGGTTCCCTCGAGAATTTCTACTTCTTTTTTTTTATGCCAAACTCTCACGCAAGATCTTCAAAAGTGATTTATGGTAGAAATCGTTCTATAATACTTCTTTTTGCTTATACCTAGATCAGTTGAAATAGCCAATGATTATCACATGTATAATGAATCTAGCTGTTGGTAACCATCAATTTTTTCTTATTTGTTATTCTGATAACCGGTCAGACTAATTTTAATATAATTTGATAGGATTTTCCAAGAACTATAAAATGATATAATAAAGCTCAATATCACAGATGATTGAACAATAAGCCTACGTTTTTATGAAATTCATTTTTTGACTAATCTTTTTTGGGATACTAGATGTGAATTTTTTAACGAAGAGACAAGTTCATGAATATACTTGAAATTCACATAGGTCTACACAATTTTGAATGCTGATTTAGAATATCATATTACTCTCACTTAGGTTACACTTTTTCTGATCGAAATCTACTATATATCAGTTAAAAACACATAAAACCATATCTTAAGAATGGTATTCTTAGAATTTTTCTTAGGCATCAATATTTTTTCCCACAATATATTCATGCCATTTTGTTACTTTTGAAAAGCCGTATCAAAACGTAATAAAACTAGTTTGATATGGTCATCAAACTAATAAATAAGAAAAAACTGATTGTCACCAACAGCCGTATTCATTGTAGATGTGACAGTCATTGACTATTTCAACTGATCTAGGTGCAACACTAGCAAGTTCTATAGGACTAATTCCATCAGAAATTATTTTTGGACATCTTGTGTGAGAGTTTGACATAGAAGAACATAAATTTTTTGAGGGTCCGATTTCATCTGTTATCGACATCTACTCATTTCCTTTTGCTTATTTGTTGGCTTTTTTTGTAAAGATTGCTGAGGAAATGACATTTCTTATACGAGATTCATCAAACCGTGCTCGTCAAGATTATACAATATCTGTTTATATAAATGGTATAATACGTCATTCACCTATATATCGTGATGGTTCAGATTTAATGTTAATGTCATTAACATTTACAAGTTTAATTGAACTTGTTAACTATTTTTCTCGTAAACCAATTTTTCGAAAACTATGTTTACAAAAACCTGCAAAATCTTATGCAGATTTTATTAATGAACAACGGCAATTTAAAGCACAAGGAATAAACACACATATAATAATTTTTAAAACATTAGACGATGCAATTCAATTAAAAGTTGATACACTACGAACACGTATGTTTTATTTTTGTTTTTTGTTTTAGATTTTATTTTTATTTTTTCAATCTATTTAGTTCAAGTTGATCAAAATCCTAATAATCAATCTGTTCAAGTTCAATATTATATTTATGATGAAAATAAAAAGAAAAATGAAGGTTATGTATTCAAATTCGATACAGTCAAAGATTACAAAATGTTTTCAGAGATGCTTTGTCCTGGATCATCACAATTATTACCAATAAGCTTACCACAGGATGAAATCGTAAATAATATGCATAGTCTTTCAACAGGTCCTAAAAAATTGACACCTACTCCAACATCACTTCATCAATCACCAACATATATAGCAGAATTAAATAAATTAATTGTTTATTGTCAATCTATTAAAATGAAAGCATACAATATCAATAAAGCACAAGATCTAGGTAAATTATTTTTAGTACTATAATATAGATTTTTTTTCTTGTTAATTAACTAAAAATATCCATAGCCAAAAGATTTTTTATAATCTTCTTATTAAATAATACTTTCTCAAAAGAAGATTATATAAAAATTAGCGTTTGAAGATGTTATAATTTTGTTTAAAATTGAATTTATGATTCAATACTTAGAAAAAAGAAATTGAAAATCACTCTTTCAACTTTGTTTGTTGTAAACAAAAAAAAAGTCTATTTAAATTTTCGAAGATATTTTTCTCGCAAGATGAATTTTTCTCTTTCTATCATTATAACGATTTGACACTATTCATATTATCAAAGTCCCTATGGCAAAGTTGATACAATGAATTCTGAATTCTTTGATCTTTACGGCGGATGTACAGGATAATATTAACCAAATGCTTTATTCAAATGGAAGTATTATAGTGAGAAATTTCTCGATAGTACAACATACTTATATTTGACTTCCTTTAAATGTAATAGAAATCGATATTTTATGTGTATTTAGAAAGAATACGATCATTCAGAGAAATGATTTCACTTAGTAATGCCAAAGCAACCACATTTTGTTCGGATGTTCGAGCAATGCTTTTGTATGTTTTGATATATATATATTAATCTATATAAAAAATAAAAATATTTTCTCTTTGCATAGATTTAATCGAGCTCATTTTACTCGTATCTATCCTGATTTTTCAAGAAGATCATGGAGTTCATATAATTTTGAACCTATTCCATATTGGTTTACTGGTTGCCAATTAGTAGCACTCAATTTTCAAACGCCTGGTTTGTATTAATTCAAACTATTTTATACCAATAGTCTATTTATATATATATATATACGTTTACATTCAGATCGTCCAATGCATATTAATGCTGGTCGATTCGCAGCTAATGGGGGGTAAGATTAAGTCCTATATAATATAGTTATTCGTTGTTCGGGAAAAACGTAATTTATTATTCGTATAGTTGTGGTTATGTTCTTATGCCAAATTATATGCGTTCATTTTATGCAAATACATCAAAAATAGATACAAAAGCAGTTGTATTAAAAATTCGTGTTCTAGCTGTTCGAAATTTACGTGCAAATCAATCAAAAAGTATTTCGAAAGTACAAGTTAAAGCAACAATTGTTAACAGACAAAAACTTCCTGGAAATCAAACTTGTTCAAGTAGATTTCTTTTTATAAATAGTTTTTTGTTTCTAATATATTTAATTTAACAAAATAGCAATAATTAATGGTCCGTGTGGTATTTGGGATTCAAAACAATCATCAAAAAATTCTGATCAACTTCATACATATCATCGTCTTCAGTCAGATGATGGTGATGTTGATCTCTTATATTTTGAAGTATTGACTGATAATGAAGAATTTTGTGGACAATCAACTATTCCATTATCATCATTGAGATCAGGTTTAGTTCTTTTCGTTTTATTATAATACAAAAATAATCAAATAAGATTTTGAATTTCTTTTTTTGTTGCTGTTTCTTTAGGCATTCGATCTGTACAATTATATGATAAATTTAATGAATATTTAGATATGAGTGCTCTTCTTGTTGATCTTATTTTTAAAGCTGGTATTTTATTTTTCAATATATTTTAACAGAATGATTGTGTAGAAAATATTTTTTAGTGTAATTTTTTGTCGAATTTAATATATAAGATCATTCTGACCGAAGAAATATGTTTGTTCGAACATTAAAAAAAGAAAATTGTGATCATTGCTCATGTCTGTTTGACTTTACTTGATTATTTTTTGTATACATTTTTTATCCTACTCTATTTCTTTTTGTATCTTTTTTTCCTTCACATTCTGTGTCTTCAAAAAAATAGAAGAGTGCAATTTGGTTTCATGCAAGTCGGAGAGGCACAACATGCACACCTGTATGAAAAGGAAACAAAGTAATACGAGAGAGAGAGAGAAACAGAATAAAATGCAATATGATATTTCTTCTTTATGTCCTTTCTTGTCTTTGACGGTTTGTCTTTCTAATTATGTTACATTGATGTTAATCTTCTCTCTTGCTTTTTTTTTTCATCAATGTTGGATACTTTTTCTTCCTCTTGTGAGTAAACTGAAGTATTGTGTCTTCTTTCTTTTACTTTCTTTCTTTCTTTCTTTCTTTCTTTTTTCTTTTCTAGTGAGATCTGTCAATTCGATGTTTCAAGGACAATTAGACAAGAACGAGTGTCAACATACTTCACTTCATCGTTTATTTCTTTTGTCGCATGCTTCGCAGCTGCTAATGTCTGTTGAAAGGTGTCACATAGTAATATGCTACTTTGCTATTCTAATAGAAAGAGAAAAGAACAATGGAAAAGAGTCTCTCTTTCTCCTGTCGTTGTTTCATCCCATTAACAATCCTCCATCATTACCAACGGCAGAACCACTCATACCACTGCTGTCGCGTTGATTTTTTGCTATACGCTAGTCAACATTATGTGACGCATGCCGCTATATGATCGGCAAGATAGGAAAAGAAAGAACGAGCAGAAAAAAAACGAAGGTTTGCACAGCCCCGGACGTCCGTGTCAATCTGCGCGAGTGTACTTTTGCAATCGTGTTGGATACCTCCTTGTCTTTCCTTGTCTGCTGCCGCATGTAATAGAATGCCTCATGTGCCCTCCCCAATGCATATATATTACGAAGACCCAAAAGAAAGAAAAAGAAAGAAAGAAAGAAAGAAAGAAGAACAGAACGCTAAATGAAAGAACTGACAAACGAACGAACGAACGAAATATTTTGAATATTACTACACGCCTCTCACATATTCTATATGTGATTATGAAGACCAGACGAGCTTGTGCGATCTCTCTTCTTTTCTCTTCGTATGTATTTAGTGGGTTGCCCCTCGTCATTGTGTTGCTGTATGCTCTGTCGTGTAATACTCGAGCAACTGGAAAAAAGAAAAAAAAACGAGAAAAAAGGCAAAACGCTGTTCGATGCAATGCATCTATCCAATATAGAGAAAAAAAAGAGAAGAACGATTTTTTTTTTGCTTCTTGATAGGAAAAAGCCGGGCCAAGGAAAGAGGGTGGTGGGGGAAACGAGAAAGAAAGAAACGGCAAGGCGCGTGCACTAATCATGTCCTTGAACGGCTCGCTCGTGCACTCTCGATGCCATTGTGGGCGTTCGTGGATTCCGGCTGCGCACAAAACGAGAATGAGAAGAAGAAGATGATGAAGCAACTTTTCCCCTGTGTGTTCTCTGTCTCTGTCTCTGTCTGTCTGCCTGTCTCTCTCTCTCTCTCTCTCTCTCTCTCCCTTCTCAATTGAAGTCAATCATCAGCTGTATATTCTAGAAAACAATTCTCTTTTTTATTCATTGTCGCCGTCTTTCTCCTAATCTAACAAATTCTACTCCGATGCAACCATTCACACCGTATAATGATCCACAACAGTCCATCTGGTGTCTTGTCACCGTCTGATTTATATGTTGGCATAACTGACGGCAGTCACAGTTCAATGGTTAAACAACATCAGTCTGATTCACATCAATATCTTTCTAATCATCACAGCGATTCTTCACGTTCATCATCAATTTGTTCGTCTTCACTTTCACCAAAAACTTCATCTTCGACGACTGCTACACCAACAATAGCGACGACAGCTGCAGTGCCTGCAGCAACAGCCACAGCTACTTTCACTGATATCGATCCACAACTGGCTCAACATGTCGAATATGAATTAGGTTTAACAAAAAAGAATGGTAATGGCAGTGGAACACGAAAAAATGCATGGGGAAATTTAAGTTATGCTGAATTAATCAGTAAAGCTATTACAAGTAGCGCTGAACAACGTCTAACATTATCAGAAATTTATGATTGGATGATAAAATATGTTCCATTTTTTCGTAATAAAGTTGATAGAATTAGTAGTGCTGGTTGGAAGGTAATAATCTTTAATTAAATTTTCTTCTTTATTACTTTTTCTAAACTTATTTATAAATCTGAAAGAAACTTTTCATTCTAATTTTATTTCTTTTAAAGAATTCCATTCGTCACAATTTATCATTACATAATCGATTTAAACGTGTACAAAGTGAAGGTACTGGTAAATCATCTTGGTGGATGATTAATCCAGATGATAAAAGTATTAGTGGTAACGGTACATCGCCATCAACTGGTATAAAACAACCACGACGTCGTTTAGGTCAAGGTACCAAATCTTCTTCTGTACCATCAACAACAACAAAAAGACTTCGTACACCTCGTGCAACGAAAGCATCTCGAGCATTAATTACAGCTCAACAATTAGAACAACAACATCAAACTTCAGTACCTCAACAAATTCAACCTCCTGACATGTCAACAGCATCAGTTTATGAAGCACAACAATGGACTTCTCAATTAGAAACAGACAATGGAAATGATCATTTATATGAACAAGAACTCTATTCAACAACAGTAAGTACTCCAGCAACGAACAGTAATGGTAATTCAACAGGATGCATTCAGTCAACATATTCATATGACGATGTACCAACTAATTATGTGGGTAATGCAACATCAAACAATAATAATAACACCGGTGATTATTCATATCATCATCCACATCACTTTCATCCTCATCCTCATCATTCACATACGCTTTATCAACATCATCATGGATCAAATTATGATACCGGTTCAACAAATAGATATTATCACCAACAATCGGTGCTTAGTGATCATCATTCTAATCAATGTTCTCTTCCAATTGATACGTATCACACAAATAATCCAGGAACATATTCATTACAACAACAACAAATCGATCCGAATGATGAACATTTATATTTAGGTGTTCATTCGACATCATCACATTCATCATCATCATCACTTTCACCACCAACATTAACAACAAATAATAATCTTCTACCGTCATCTTCGTCCGGTTCGTCTTCTTCTAACTATGCACATACGCATAAGTCTTCATCATCCGGTGGTTATCTACATCCGACATCGAATGGAACACTCACACTTTATAGTCATCATCATCAGCATATTTCACAGCATCCTAATTCATATCATCCAGATATTGAAACATTACTTCATTTAAATACTGAAGATGATGATATTGATGATGATGATGATTTTTCTACTCTTGTACATCATCACGGAATAATTGATGATCAACAACAACTATCATCTTGTTTTCCTAATAATAATAATAATCATCAATTACATTCTCATAATGATGCATCAACTTCAATTTTACGTACGGTGCTGAACAGACCGATTGTCGGTAAGAGTTTTAGTTTAGTTTTGAATTGAAAAACAATTTTTCTTTTTTTCGTTTCTTAATTTTACTTTAGATATGTACAATCAACAGGTGTAAAATGACCGGTTCTTTTTTATAAATACTACTTATAACACATATATAGATATCCTTCGATTTTATAAAATATCACCGGCGATCCTATTTTAATGTAGATATTGTGCAATGTATTCTTTCATGTGAGAGTCGTTTTACATGACATCCGAAAGAATGCATTTTCCTTTTCTTTTTTTCTTTTTTTTTTCTTTTGTTGCTATTTTTTCTCTCCACCGTAAAGTTATTTTCTTCGTTTTTTTTTGTTTTTCTTCTTTCATCATTTAAATTTCTGGAGTATTTTCATTTGGTCATCATCCTTTAATCATTCTCTTTCAACAGAAATGGAAACCGGTGATATCAATATAATGGCAAACTAAGAACAAAGGATAGACAAAAATAGAGCAGCGAAAACTTAGAAATTAAAAGTTTTTTATGGTAACAGTGAGAAAAATCTTCATTATCGTCATTTGTTCTTTTCCTTTTTATACACACTCTAATAATATTTTTTGTTTGGTTTCTTTTATATATTTTTTTTTTCGTGTGTCTGTATGTTTGTCAAATTTTTGTTCCTAATTTTCACACACACATAGATGCACACGAGTTGCTTTTGGAGTCTTTTGTTTTCTTCTCGTGTTCAACTTTGTTTCTTTTTTTTTCGTACTTTGTAAAGCTCGATGTGTATAAAATGAGAGTGAAAGAGAAAAGATGACAGGAAGATATTAATATCAAACCCAAAAAAACCAAAATAGCTCTTAAAATCTTATTTCTGGATCAAAAAGAAATATTTTGATATAGAATAGAATGAAGATTTTCCTTTCTAGAGTTTACTTTGGATTTTATGAGTAAATCAAAATATAGTGAATACGACTTATATGATTGAGTCATTCTAATAGAATTCAATCGAATAGAAATAGAGTCAACTCTGAAGATAAATTATTTCTTACGGTCGCTCTGCTTTTGTCTCAGTTTCTTAGGAACGACTCGGTCAAATATTCTCAAACTTTCAGAGTAGATCGATTTCAACTAGTGGAGCAAAGTTTGCCATAGGCTCAGACTTCCTCAATGCTTCGTTCTATGAGATGTAGGAGACGCACCAGCCAAAAATGGTCTGAAATTTTTCCTCCCTCCCGAAAAAAAAAAGAAACAGCCATAATTCTTTTTTTATGGCTGAATTTTTTTTAAAGATTAAGACCAAACTGTGGTATATTTTTTTCCTTTCAAAAGCATCATTTCTTTTGTTTGGGAGAACCAAATTATTGGCAACTCTATCAAAAAATGTTTTTTTTTGCCTAGGCTAAATTTTGTAAGATCTGCCAAAAGTCACTAGAACATTATTTGAACAAAAAAAAAGACATATATACTTCGCTTTGATCCTAGTTGTCACACACATAAAGTTTCAGATCAATCAGTCGAATTATCTTGGAGAAAAAGGGGGAAATTTTCAATTTTTCTATTCATAAACTAACTTTGAGAAAAACATCGACACAATATGTAGTTCTCGCTATTTTTGTTGCGCAAATTTGATTTTCTCACGAACTTTTTTCTTGTTTAAAGACAATTTTAAAATCTCTAAATGTACTCACTAGATATATACTACATCAGATTATACAATGACCACAAAAAGTCAAAAATGAACGAAACAAAAATTTTGAGTCACGAAGAGAGGAGGTGTCCTTAAGATACATATCTCACTGAAAATTGACAAAATATCTGGACAAATATTTTTCGGTCTCGTACGAGTATAATTACGGTCATTTATTTGAACAGAAGATATGACATAATAAATAAAGAGAAAATAATCCAGACACATTTTGTACGAGGTAGAAACAAGAGATTATATTCTGGGTCCTTAGAAAAAAAAACAGATTACATTTCACTGAAAAAAAATTTCCACGAGAAATATTACATTCTCTTCCAAAAGAAACTCAAAACCGTAATAGAACTGTCTAGCAGAAACAATCATAATCAGTTCCTTTTTTTTGTGATTGTAAAATTTTCTCTAGTATGATCTTTTTTAATAACTCACAAATGCGGATGTCTTAAGAGCTTAGATTCGGTTGCTTTTCTTGTGAAACCTATAGATAAACATTTGAACAAGGTAGATTCTCTAAAACAAAAATAATCTCAAGATTTCTTCAGGCATATCTCCTTGAATAGTTTTAATCAATTTTCATACTTTCACAGAATATATTTCTGTGTTAGCAACAAAACATTTTATCATTGTTTTTCTCATGTTTTGGTTTTAAAGTCTATTTAATTTATTTTAAATTAAACTGTCTTATATTGTCGATTGAACGCTAGGTTTTTTCATTATTTCAATGATGGGGTTTGATAAAGAACTCTTTGTATTAGAAAGAAAAACCACACACTTGATATTTATTAATAGCAAAATGCACAACGAGCAACTTTTATAGAGCACACGGACATTTCTTATTTCCTGTCAGAAACACACTTTTTTTCATAGAAATCTCAATTTTCATTACTTAATAAAAAGATTAATGGGAAAAAAAGTATTAACAAATGTCATGTTATTCGATGCATGCTTTTGTACTAATTCCAAATATGTCCTTTTTTTTTCTTTTAAAGTACTTTTGAGACAACAGAATGCGAAAAACATTCAAAAGTCAATTTTTTTAGAAAATCTGTATCTTCATTCAGATGCATTTTGTGCACCTCTATGCTAACTGAGTAAATATGTTAGACAAAGAAAAACATTCCATGAAAGTTTTATCGAGATTAGAACTATGCTAAAATATGCGCATCGACTACATTGAAGACGACTTTTTTATAAAACCCTTAGTTGAGAAAATATGTATACTCTTTGCATCAGGGAAACTGTTATATCGTGGATCTTTCTACTTTCTTTCGAAAAAGATACTTTCCTTACAAATGACAGAAATCTAGCTATTTTGTGGGCCTAAGATTTTCCTAAATCTCTAAAGAGCTGGAATAATTTTTTAAGCCAAAATCTATATTAGACATTATTCAAACACAAAAAATATCAATTTCATCTTTTTGTCAAATGTCCACATTGTTGCCCACTGAATATCCAGTGTTGAACGTATTAGATTACATAGTAACTAAAATCTTGGCATACAAAACACTTATGAACTTTGCTGAGAATTAAACTTGTTTCTATTTCTATCCTATAGTTACTATATTAATATCTGACAATATCTATATGATTTTCAAACTATTTTTATGAGTTAAAGAAAGTTAAAATAATGTATTAATTATTGATTATTCAAGTCAAACAAATGTTATATGCTGCTTGTTTATATCTATTAAGGTAGTGTAGAAAATAAGGTAAAGATAAAACACATGATTATTGAAATGTTTTTCAAATGTCAAATAAAATTGAATATTTTGACATAAAAACTAAGCTAAACAGCAACAAATGATGGAAGAATAGGACATAAAAGAAAACATGGAGATCTGGAAAAGTTATGCATGCATTGTGGCATTTCACATGCGTGTTCATTAGCATATCAATTTTCTGTTGGACAGTTGAATTTAGACTTAAAGATTAGGTTTAATATTTGTTGCTCAAGTTAATTTCTATTGTCTACAGATTCTAATAATACTCCTTTTTTGTAAAAACTTTGTTGAAAAGTCTACTATAGTTTCAAATCATTCTTGGATTACGTAATCATTAAATCAATATATTTCAATGAGTTATTGAACATTTTAGAATAATTTAATTTTACAGGTCTATTGAGACATACTTTACACTTATTGATATTGATTCTGCTAATACTGACAATTGTTTCAAAGTTGAGAATAAATTTTATACTTTTTATTAGAAATATCAATTGATAAGTCAAATGAATTGAATATTGATATAAAACTTGTGTTTTTACTTGTGTATGGAAATATCGATTCAACTAAGATTTTCAACATATATTTATTTTATAGATAATTACAAATCTGCAATATTTTTGTTGTCTTGCAAATATATTCATTTACTGTTTAGAGTCTGAAAAATCAAACTATCATAGAATGCTTAATAATTCATTTGGACCTAGTAATTGAGCAAATACTCGAGTAAAAACACAGTGTAAGTGTTGAGACGCTCTTTTATTGCTTCTATGTTATCAATCACACAGCTTCATATCATATTAAGAAAATCAATCAAAAAAGTATATTTTATTTGTATATATTTTTACAGCTTAACAATTAGTAAAAGCTTTCGTATAATAAATAGAATTTTTAGTACCGATTGTATTTATTTATCGAAATAATAACATAAACGGAGTACAGCTAAATACTCGCAATGTTGCGTATTTAGTATGTATATATCTAAGTAAACAGATCATTCAAAATCGAATTCTTTTAAATACACTGTTAAATTCTCTATAAAAATAGAAATATATGATTCTACTAACTTTTCCTGGTAGGATTTTTTTAGATAACAAAAACATATTGGAAATATTTGGGCTTATTCATTATATTATATGAAAAAGTAAATTCTGTATTTAAGAATAGTTAATCTAAAGAGATCAATTTGCTTAGTTTTGATTTCTTATGATAAAATAAATTGTAATCCATCTTACTTTAATATCAATTGAAAAGATCTATGGATTTGATTGATATTGCAGAATAATTCTGAGAAATAAAAATTACAGTGATCAAGCCAAATCACGGCTAACAGCAAAACCAAATAAGCAAATAAAAATAACTCTTGTTGAATACTATGAATAGTCATGATTCGGATGAACAATATTAAAGTAAGATATGGAAGTAACTAACATAAAAATGGTAATTGTGAAAAGCAATGTAAGTACAATAAAGCACATTAAAATTACTTGTTCTTGATCAATAATTCGGACAATTAGTGGAACTAATAAAATGAAGTATAATCATTGAAATTATCTCAAAAAAAAACAAGGAAATTCCGATAATGATTAGAAAATAGATGCCGATATTTGTCAAAATGTCATTCAGATGTTGAAAAATCAATTATTCAAAAGATTGTAGAAAAATCTGGACCAATTATTATTGCATGCAATAGGAAAACTCGGTGAATACTGTCATTTTCTTTTTCGATGTGCTTCATTCGATTGTATTATGATTACGAACACACATTTATCAGTTCGCCTTGAAACAAGCCTATACAATATACTATCATTAAAGCAATTATAATACGACTTTGTTTGAGACATGTCTAGGTCATATTTGCAAGTCAATTTTGAATAGCATACTCCTCTTTTTAAAGAAACACTTGGTATCAAAAACGAAAACAATTATGATATAAATCTCAATAAATAGCTATTTTTTGAATCTTAAAATTTATGTTTAATTTTATCAAAGTTTGTGTTTGTAATTAGAATATCATTCAATGTGACATTCTTCATGTTCAGATTAATACAGTTTTCAAGAAGATACAATTAATCTTTTAATCATTCAAAGAGTATTGAGAAATCTTTAAGATAAAACAAAGGCAACCATTTTGATGTTAAAGAGTTAGAAAGTTTGATACAATAAATTTCTTAATAAGAAAAGTTTTCGAAAGAATTTAATCTGAATTTTTCTGAATTAAAAATAGTTAAATTTCATTATAAACTATATCTGAGATAATTTCTTTATTATTTCAATTAAATTTTGAAATGAAACTAGAATAATATATGTTTTATTTTAATGAATATGAATACTACAAGAGAATTGAATTTAATAAAAAACATGTTTTTTCATCATTTGAAAATTATATTAAAGATAAAACAAATATAAACAAGCTGATACAATCAGTAAATACTCTGTTTTATTAAACGAATCGATATAATATGAATAATCAGATAAAATAATATAAACAAAAAATAAGGGAGGAAATTATTCTTGTCAAGCTTAAGCGATTTTCTTCTTCTCGCATATAATTTCAGTTTTTCTCTCTGTCTCAAACATAATCAATTCTGACAATATTGATTACTCCTTTGAATACCGACGACATATATTTGCGTCATAAACTTAATAATCGTTTGCAATTAATGCAATCACTTATACTGTATATTTATTAAATACATTCATGTGAATGCCAACATCAAGTAACAGAAGTTTTCTACATCATTATTTTTTTACAGCTCATGCCAAACTTCTATGGTAAGAAATTCAAACGTACGTGATGTACAACCACGCTATTTTACGTATGTTTATATTTTGTCGGTAACCACAGAATTTATTTAATACTCTCATCATGTTTATGAATCATATTCAAATATGAAACTATAATATACAAAAAAAAAGAATAGTCTGAATATTATTAACTAAGAATATAAATATAATAGAGCAAAAAAAACGACTCATAATACGTAATGGTATGTCGACTGCAGCGGGGCAGAAACGAAAAAAATAATCTGCCTTGCACAACAAAATAACGAACCGAAACATTTTCTTTGACATAGGTCATTTTCGTTCTAATACTTTTTCTACAGATACGTGTAATTGTTATTTATCAAAGCTACTATCCACATTGACTTAATACAAATAATGAACAAAAAAGAAACCGATAAATTTGTTATCAATGAGAAAGAAAACATATCAGCAAGTTCAAATAGATGTAATTCAAAATGGTGGAATCAAGGTTATCATCAGCAACAAATTATTTGTCGAATAATTGAATCATTTTATTTTCGTGCTCTAACTATTTTTCTCGTTCTTCTTGATATATCATTACTAATTGCTGAAATAATGTTAGAGTCACTTAAAATTCAAAGTACATGTGAAAGTTATTTTCATCATTCATCAAAACATTACCACGAAATGATTAAAGAACGCATTGAATTGTTTATGGAAATATCCCATTATGCATCCATAATAATTTTGAGTTTTTTTGTCATTGAACTATTATTTAGAATTTATGCATCTGGAAAAGAATTTTGGAATATTCGAAGAAAAAAAATGGAATATTTCGATGCATTCGTTGTTATTACATCGTTAATTATTGATTTATATTTTTTACGTAGCAAAAAGAAAAATCTTAGTAAAAAAATACTTATATTTTCATTTCGTCTTTGGCGTTTTGTTAGAATTATTAGTAGTAAGTCAACGATTTATATTTACTATTTGAAAAAAAACACGTATTATATAATTTAGGTGTCGCTGAAAGTGTTCGTGATGAACAAATAGAGCACAAACAACGTTTAAATAAACAATATCTTATTGCTATTCACCGACTCGCCGATCTTCTTTTACATAAAACAAATTATGTTGAAAATCATAGTGGACAGTTGAATTCTGTACTTGAACATTTTCATATAATTGATGCTCAATGTCAATCATCACTTGATACACTTCAGCAAAATCATGAATTAACTTCATCAAAAGTCGTAGAGGAATTTATTAAAGAATTAAATGAACTTGAAAATAAAAATGATAATATTATTACCTCAACAATTTTTATCAAGTCATCAGAAGTATAAACTTCAGTTTATATTTCATACTATTATTAATGAAACAGTACTATAAAAAAGAAAAGATGAATAAAATAAATTGTACAGATCTGCATATTCATATGCAAGATTATGTACTGCATTTTTTAAAAATGGCAATTTGCGGGTCATCATTAGCCTTGCCTTTATTGATTCTGGTGATGAGAAGATAGAACATATATTGTTTGAAAAGTTATTGACAGCGAGTAAAGGATGAAGGTTCAACTAGTCTGATTCAATCGAATACGTCAGAAAAGACAAGAATGTTCTTTATTTAAGATAAGAAACTTATATGTAAAAAATTTGTCGGAAGACTCAAAAAGAAAACTACTCCTCATGTTCAAGAATATCATTTACTAAGAACAAAAAATTTGTATTTCTGCATTAATTAATATTAACATTTGATCCGATACAAGTTCAACAATTCTTACAATTTATATAATGATGTCAAGAACAATTTCTATCCAAAGAGTTTCCTGATGATTTTTGACTTTTTTATATTTTTCATAAAATATTAGTGATTATACAGTATTGGGATTTTGCTAAATACCTTATCAAAAGTGAAGACTGTCATTTCTTTTTTTGATATGAGTGTATTCGAGTTTTTTTCTCTTAGTGTCAGAGTGATCAAAATAGGTCTTTTTCTGGTAATTATTATCAGATACACTTTCCACCAGTGACATTTGATTAAAATCTTGAAGCAATGAATAAATGCAGAATATTTTTACATGATTTAGATCTGGTCTACATAACAGAAGTTAATAGTGTATTAAAGGGAACCATCTCCCCCCACCCCCACCCCACCCTCCTCAGAAAACTATTTTCTAAACGGTACAACGGATGTCGATGAAACTTTCCTGAAATAGAAAAAGTGATATGACTAGCATATGATAAAAATTTGAACCAATCATTTCTCATAGTTGAGGAGTTATGCAGACTTTAATCCTAAAAACGGGGCTTTTGGCTCGGAACATTTTCTCGGTACCTGGTAGCACGTATGATAGAGAGACTTGTTTCAAAATAAAGGAAAAACGTGTACCTACAAACTGTAGGAGCAGGTTTTTGAAATTCGTTTTCGTTGACGTGTAGTAGTCATTTTGAACTGAGAATCACGAAAACTGTTTTGTGCTCTTTCCAAGATTTTTATATATCTGAACAACGAATGCATATTTTAGAAATATGTTCCAACAATTTGTGGAGAAAACTTTGATCTTTCCAATAAAAAAGAAATCAGCAATATACATTAATAGATGGATCGGAAAAATGTTCCGAAGTGGTCAGAAAACGATAAAAAAAAACGAAGTTAAGAAAGACGAATAACAACATCGTGAAGTGATTTCCAGTGTATTGGTGTAGAAATATGCAACATGTTATATATCGTTGAAAAGCAAGTAAAACGTTCTTCCATTTTAAATGGTATTTGTGACAAAAAATACAACAAATTTTCAAATTCGAGTTTACTGTAGTACCACCTTTTCGGGAATTTGCGCTGTTTTGAAGCAACAGAATCTTTGTAAAAACACCAAAACAAGCTCAAAATATGATTACTCGATATTGAGGTTACTAGAGTGTCGAAAAATATGAACAAACGATATTTTGTAGTTCCCGGTAACTAAGAAAAAATCATTCAAACAGCCTATTCTCGTATATTGCTGCGGAATACGCGCGCGATGCTGGGTTAAATATGTTCGATTCATATATAATTTATACATATTCTGGAAGAGAACACTTAGGACTAACACAAAATGTGCTTTTTGAAAAATCGAATTTTCAAAAAAAAATTAACATCCTGAGGGGGGTTCCCCCTTAAGAAATGTAATTATGGTAAGCTGTCAAACCTTTGATGAGCCATACTTTTATTAACAGATTGCAACGTCATAATGTTTTCAATAGTAAATGCTTCTAACAGAAGTAAAATATACAACGTATGTTCAAGTTTGAAAAAGTACTTTGATGGTACTCGACAAAGTTGAAAAAACTCTTTGCTTATTGATAATAACATTATTGAAAAGTCATTCGTCCCTTGTTTATATATCCTAATTCCAGATGTAGCTACGAAGTATATTCTCTTTAATTCTTATCATATTTATCGCCGAATTTTTTCTTTTTCAAGTTTTAGGCTTTCAATTTTGTTTCTTATACGTACTTTCTCAATTAATTCTTTCTAGAAGTATTAAGTTAGGAATTGCAGACGTATCAATCTTATGTATAGGACTTTAAATTTTTTTAAATTTGCATAACAATGATGGAACGATCATAAAAATTGATGTATTGCAAATTCATTGATTAAAATCAAGGGAGTAAAAGATAAACTTTTGAAGGTCAGGATTGTTTCGATTGCCAATGATTGCAAGCAGTCTTGTATATCTAACAATAGTCGAATCAAATTTTTGGTAATGTATTGATAAGGATGTTGCTGAATCAACTCTTTATTGGTGGAATCATCGTCAAATGTATCTTCTTTTTTTCTTCAAAATACTATCGTTCGAATTCGACTTTAAATTTGAATCGTTTTTACTTCAGCTTCAATATTCGACTAGTTTTTATTCTTGAGATTGGAGACTTGAAAGTTGAGACAGTTTATCTAAAAGTAAAATGACACTATGTTGATACATATGTATCTGGTACATAAGGTGGCTGACATAATAGAAGATAATAAATAAGTGATTTGCTCGCTGTGGACGATTTTAGATAGTTTGCCACGATGTGAAAAGAAGAAATTAGTGTTGAAAATAGAAATATTTTTGCTATTGATGCTTCGGCATTTAGTAGAATGAAGATACGGAAGTTTTTCTGATCATGCCTAGATTTTTCAAACGATTCAATTTACTTTTTGTTAGGGACATGATGCAGTACGACTACACAACCGAGAAGATGCTCTTGTAACCAATTGAAAAGTTTGAAATCGATTTTAAACGTTACAAATCATTACTCAGAGCCCCTATATGATGATAGAACAAAAGTTTTCGTTTCTGCACTTTTTAGGATCTCTAGAAAACCGATTTTTCGGAAAAAAAGCGTTTTTGGAGTACAATCTTGCTAAAAATTTTACCATATATGCAGCTCGTGCCCTAGAGCCTATCCTGAAGTTTTGAGATTTTTTTCTCATGTAGTTAGTGAGATATTCGCTAATTACTTTATAATTAATTAATTAATAAACACGTGAAAGGCCAAACATTTTTACATAAGTCTATGCTAAAAGAATTTATCGAAAAAATTCACTCTTATAGGGAATAAAACTCAAATAGAGGTGTAAATGTCCCGTTTTGCGTGATTTAGCCCATATGATTCTTTCACAATTAGATTTAATTATCTTTTTGTTTTTTATAAATGTCCTTTTAATTATTCTAACAAAATACTTTCAAACTATATCTTTGTTGTAATATTCCTGACAATAATTGGGTAAAAGGCATCTCCAAATATCCTGTAGTTGCCACAAAAAAAGCTCATGTTCGACTAGGAAGTAAATTCAGAAAAATGTAAATATCAAAGGATATCCCATATATAATAAAATTACATGTTCAACAATCATAAACTATGCTCTTTAGATCTCTGTATAAAAACGTTTATGAAATAATTATTTATATCTTGATTAGAGATATATTACCAATATCATGCTGGCATAAAACCCAATGAATTAAAACAAAGCGAAACTTTTAATAACTTCTCTGGCGCCCAAGTGAACACCCTAGTCGAATATCTTGTAAGCAATATCTTGGGTACATACTAAGATGAAACGTGTTGCATGTGTCGTGATTTGCGACACAATGTATGACACATTCTGAAAGCGTGATTCGAACCTATCATTCAGTGCGTTTTTATTGTTTTCTGTAAAAGCATGTTATGATATTTTTTCAATTTATTTTCATTTTAATTATTCCTGTCACGAATAACTCAAGCAAGTCAGATGCTGGGATCTGACTGACTTTGAGTTGGTCTTATCTCCGTCAGACCATTTCAGGGTAGTCCTCTCTCGATCATCGATCGAGATCAGCATCTTCTCGAATAATCAATAGTGAAGAAATAGTTTAGAGAAAAAATTATTTTGAAAATTTATGTCTTGTATGTTCGATCATGTTGTTTATATACAGGTGTGTATGCATAAAAAAACGGTGAATGACTAGTCAGCATGTAAATACACTAATGATGTCGCTTTTTATTTTACTCAAGATCTTGTGAGAAGATAATAGTAAACGATATCTTTTCTATGATCTTGCCAAGATCTTAGGTACAGATGTATCTGATACAGCCAAGATATGTACATAAAAATTATCTTTTCAAGATCTTGATAAGATCTTGCTTACAAAATGTTCGACGAGGGCATACTTCAAGGTAAATTCAAGTGGCTGTTGAATGCAGCATATAGGAGTGAGAGTTGTGAAAAAGCCTCATTTACTAATTTCTTGCATGATGAATAGTTCTGCGGGTATTTCAACATGACATTCGAATTCATCAAGTTATGAGTCAGTTTTGACGATTGCTCAATCAACTGGTCAAGATGATTGACAGCTATAAGCTGATCATCTATTCACTTTGTAGACGTCAATGATAACAATCTATTTTGACATTTCGTGCATAGATGAATACCGTCTTGGAAGAAAATGACAATCAATTGCGTGTTTCATATGTAGAACCACGGCCGTGGCTATAGAATGAGGCAACAAGATAAGAATAAGAATTATTAGAAGTTTAAATACCGTACTCACTCGAGAAATATCAACACGAAATGCATTACTACGATGACGAAATTGTTGATTTGGCATAACCGCAAAAAATCATTGATAAACGCATCGATCAACAATTATAACTTGAGTCACAATCGCCTATGGAACCAACAACTTCATCTTATTCAGTTTTTTTTTCGTATCGTTCAGCAATGTTTATCAATCGGATAATAATGTTCTATGCTAAAAAGTGACTATTCGTTTTATAAGCCGACAAAATAATTGACAAACAAGCACGGAAAGTCACGTTGATTGGCTGAATTATGT